TTTTGAATTGTCTGTAACAGATTGGGCCTTGAAGTGCCTCATCTTTTTAAATATGCACAGAGCAACGGAGTTCTCCCGCCGCATTTATGATACTTTGTCTTGTGGTGGTTTAGGGGACCGATTACCGTCAGGCGCCGTCTATGGGTGTTTGTGGTTTCAATCACGTCCCTGTTGCATTTAAATATTCTTGATACAGGTCTTTGTGGGAGCCCGCAGCGCGGAGTGAGATCGATAGATGAATGGTTTTGAATAGGTAAATAGAGTTAAGTCTAATGAGTACGGATCACTGCAGAGGTAATTGGCAGTATTTATTCGGAGAGAAGGTGATTGCTTCACGTCATAATCCTCCATTGCCAACATTTAGAAACAAACAAACAAAAAAAAGAGACCACTGTGCAAGGGGAGAGCACTAAATTGAATAGCAAGAAAGGACAGGCTTGAAATACCGGCTAACCAATGAACCGAGACCCATTAGAGTAAATTAGCGAGTATAGAATGCGCATCCTGGCGCTGGCTGGCTTGGCCACCTCAAGGGCCTGCGAGCGAGCGCGTTTGTTGGGAGGGAGCACGAAGCACGTATGCCCAGTGTCACGGGAGAAGGCCAGAGTGTGGAGGGGACAGGGAAGTGCCACCCCGCCGTGAAGCCAGCTGGCCGATCCACCGGGCCCAGGCAGAGCTGAGTAGAAACCCCCCCAGGGAGAAATCTCCCCTGCTCCTCCCCCAGCCCCCCCCAGCTCCTCCCCAGGGGGCTTCAGAGTGGGTTCCTTACAGCCAGACAGAGACGGGACCGGCCGGTGCCCCCAGCCAGCACCTGACAGAAAAAGCGCTCGTGTCCCTGCTGCCACTCCTGTGCACAGTTTACCCTGCTGTGTGGGGCCTCCCTGGCTGCTGGCTCTGAGGCCCCCTGAGCAGCTGTGGTCTAGACGGAGAAGGGCACGTGCAGCCCGTGGTGGGAGGGTGACAGGGCAGAGGGCCCGCGGGGGCCTCCGACTGACGCGGGAGAGGCCCCTCTCCCTCTGGAGAAGCGGGCACCATGTCCCCAAGCCAACCCCGTGCACCTCAGTGACCGCTCCGTCCTCCCCATCACACAGGGAGCCCCAAGTCTCATCCCCTGTCCCAGCCCACACATTTGGCCTGGGGCCCCGAGCCAGAGAGGTAGTACAGCAAAGTAGGGCGCTTGCCTTGCACGCAGCTGACCCAGGTTTGACCCCCCTGCACCCCATATGTTCCCCTGGACCCCAGTAGCAGTGGTCCCTGCAAACAGCCTCGAGCAATGCCGGGTATGGCTCAAAACGCAAAAATAAAACAACTGGGGCTAGAGCAATAGCACAGCGGGGAGAGCGTTAGCCTTGCACGCGACTGACCTGGGTTCGATTCCCAGCATCCCATATGGTCCCCTGAGCAACGCTGGGAGTGATTTCCTGAGTGCAGAGCCAAGAGTAACCCCTGAGCATCGCCGGGTGTAATCCAAAAAGGGAAAAAAATAAATAGAAAATAAAACAACCATTGGGGGACTCACCGGGAGAGGGGGGCCCCCAACCAAGCCCACTCAGCACATTCTGCCTGCCCAGACCCCCGCACAGCGCCCCACGGTGGCTGCTGATGGGACGCCCGAGCCTGCTGGCCGGGTGCCTGCAGTTTATTAGATGCTCGCTGACACCTGCCACTCCCGAGTGGGACTGAAGTGCAGGGAAATGGCCGCCTGCATGAAGCAAAATTCAATAAAGCCGCATTTTAAGTGAAAAATCAGTATAAACACGGGGCTTCTTTGCCATGGAAACAGAGGTTGCTTAGAAACTGCCTAACGGCGAGTTCTAAATTTTTTAAAGTCAAGTTATCATTTAAGCGACACGGCCCTACAGGTTATTGAGAGAGAACCGCCCGCCCGAGGCCACGGCGGCAGCGTGCGGCACAGCCGAGCGCCTCCCAGAACTCTGGGGACCAGATAATCTCCTGATAACTGCGCTCCCCCGCGCCTCTGATGTGGGCCCCGGGGAAGGAGAGGGGGATTTCGCTCAGGAGCTAAACGGTGTACATACATATATATTTTTCCTAAGTGTTTCTCTCTGGGTGTGGGGAAGATGGAGCTGGCCATTTGGCGTGTGTGAGCGCCCTCACGGCCGCGTCTCAGGATGGATGAGGAACATTTTCCAGGCCGTTACCCCAGTCGCTCCCGCGCAGGCCTCCCGCCTTTGTCTTCTGGCTCTGTGACGCGGCCGAGAGCAGTTTCGGGGGCTCCCTTCTCTCCCCCGCACCCACACCAGCACCCACCCGCCACACGCGCCCGGCGGGGCAGGAGCTCTGCTGCTGGTCCCGGGGACTCAGAACCCAAGGCCAGGGACAGAGCCCCACGAGCCCGGCTGTGGCTCTGAGCACACGCACGGGGCCTGGTTTCGGGGTGCAGCGCCAGCTCCAGCCTCCAGCTTTGCAGAGGGCAGAGGCGATCGCATTCTGTTTCCTCCTGGGGGGTGGGGGCAGAAACTGGCCCAGTCAGAACCTGGTTAGCCGAGGATGAGGGGCCCCACCAAGACAGAGAGAAGGAGATTGAGAGAAAGGACAGACCTTTTGCCCTTTTCAGAATGTCTTAAGAATTTTCCAGAATGTCTTTTTTTTTTTTTTTTCAAAATGTCTTAAGAATTTTCCAGGGGCTGGAGCAATAGCACAGCGGGAAGGGCATTTGCCTTGCACGCACCGACCCGGGTTTGATCCCCAGCATCCTATATGGTCCCCTGAGCACTGCCAGGAGTAATTCCTGAGTGCAGAGCCAGGAGTAACCCCTGAGAACCACTGGGTGTGACCAAAAAAACAAAAAATAAATAAATTTTCCAGTGCCCCAACTGGGCCACACAGCACAGCTCAAGTCGCTAGCGATGATTATTCCAGGCGCTTGCTCTCTCCTGAAAGAAATGTTTTCTCTCCTCACTTTTGAGTGTTTTCCTGCACCTCGTCTCCTAGCGCCTGGAAACAGACCCGTGGGGGAGGGGCGAGGGCGCATGCACCCGTTCCTCTGGAAGAAGCCCCCAGCCAGGAAGGCAGCCAGCACCCAGTTCTTCCCGGACAGACGCACAGACGAGGGGGAGCTGGGTGCGCTCTGGCAGCCCCCTCTTGGCTTCCCCACTGGCAAAGGCACCAGCCCGGTTTCCTTTCCCACCTGACCTTGTCAAGGACTCGTATGGGCGGGGAGCACTCCCAGACGTGTAGGTGGGAGCTGGAGGGACCCCCGGACCCGTGGCCCTCCCTGCGGTGCCTCGCCCACGTCCGACTGTTGCTTGAAGCTGAGCGTGCGCCGTGCCGTAGCCAGTGAAATTGCTTCTGTTCTTGACGGGGAAGGGGGGGAGAAATAATCAAATGAGACCATTTGCATTCTAACAGTCTTTGGCACCAGGGAAAACTGTCAACTGTGTCACGTGTAAATAGAAATCTGCTTCCCGTTTTTGGAGTGGGTTCCCCCCCCCCCCCCGTAATTTCCCTTGCCACTCTAATTATCAAAGATATTTTTGTTTTTAAACAAAAATTGTCTCCTACGCAGGCCCCATCTCCTTTTTCGCGGTGAAGTGGAAACGATGAATTAGAATATTCTAATCACTTCTCCCGCAACCACTGCTGAGGTTATAAACACAAGATTATCCTAAGCAGAGGGAAACTCGAGCGTCAGAGCCCGGAGCAGGCCAGAGGGGTTCCAAGCACGCCTGCCTTTCTTCCCTCCCCGAGTACCCTTCGGTGACCTCCAGAAAGGCCAGGCCAGATCCAGGACCCCACCCCAGAGGACAGAGATTTCCGCGTGTAGCAAAGAGTTAAAAACCAGAATTTCCCTCCCAGAATGTGGGCCACCAGTATTGGAGAAAATGGGGGAGGGACCCCCAGAACTTCGCTCCCTTGGCAAACCCTTAGGCTTCGTGTGTTGCCCCCCCAGAAGGGCACTCAGTGAAGCGGGGTGCACCTGTTCTAGAGGAAGGACAGAGACTGGGTGCCAAGTGCAGGGGTGGCTGGAGATGGGGACTCTCATGTGGTCCCCAGCAGCGACCTGAGCCCAGGAGGGCCCTGCTTTCAAAAACGAGGATGCTGAGGAGAGGAAGGGGCTTGGCCCTTCCCCCGTGAGTCACCCTCTTCTTGTTGGTCCCCAACTCCTCTCCCGGCTGGAGAGTTGGGCCCGGTGTGATCCCCCCAGCCCTGCCTGAGAACCCTCGGACACAGAGCCGGGAGTAGCCCCCACGCACCGCCAGGTGTGACCCCAGCCTCTCCCCACTCCAGAAAGTCGCCGATGAGCCACCTGAGTCATCAGTCCCGAGTACAGCCGCGTCCAGGCAGGCGCCCGGGACTGCAGTGAGGCTGTCCAAGAGGTGACCTCCTCGAAGTCCTGGGTCATGCTCAGGAGAGCGTTAGTGTCCGCAGGGGGTGGGCGCTGGGTGCTGGGAGGGCGGCAGGCAGGAGCTGGCCAGCTGGTGGGTCAGACTCCACGACCCCTGGGCAGGCCACATCTGAGCTCTCTCCTGCAGAGGCCGGGAAGCCCATGATGGGCAGGGAGCCAGGAAGAGGGAAGAACCGTGACCCATGTGGGAGCCTCATCTGCATCCTGGGGGGGGGGCTGCAGAGAGGACGGCGTCCCCCAAGGAGAGCAGCTGGGGCTGAGCCTGGGAGCGGGTGCCCCCGGGTGCCTGGACCCAGGACCCTTGCCCCAGGGAGGGGGTGCTCAGACCCAGTGGGGCTTGTGGTAAAGGTGGGACACCACTCCCTACTGAAACGCCAGCGTTACACCCCAGAACTTAATCACTCTCCTTACCCAGAGCTTGTTTGATGTCAATATTATTCTGCCCAGACTAATTATTTTCTCTCTCTGTCAGTGGGTAGGAGGCTGCCGGCTCCCGCTTCTGCTGGGCTAATGGCCCTGACTCAGGAGCGGGAGGGGGGGGGGGCTCTGCAGGGGGTCCTCATCTCCTCCTGGGGAGCCTCAGCCACTGTCCTCCCCGCACCCCCTCACCCCTGCCGTTGTCTCTCCGCAGCGTCTTCCTCCACTTGATGAAGGTCGACCCCGACTCCACTTGGTTCCTCCTGCACGAGCTCTACTGCCCGGAGCCGCCAGCGCCGCCCCACCCCAGCCTGCAGCCCGTGCAGCTGCAGGGGACCCCGGCGCCCCAGAACCCCTACAAGGCCAACGTGCTGCGCCTGCTGCGGGAGCTGCCCTGAGCCTCTTCCTCCCACGGGGGCTCCCCCGACGCCCGGGAAGAGCTGGCCTGGGGGCCGACCCCGCTCCCCCTCCGGGCAAGGAGGCGGCCTCAGCCTCTGCAGAGGAGCGGACGGGCCAAGACGGAGCTCGCCGCCGAGCATCGATCTCTGGACTGATCGATGACACCACCGCCCAGGAGCCGGGAGGAGGAAGGCGGCTGACACTTTAGATTTCACACGGGCTGTCTGCGGGCGCCACAGTCGGGCAGCTCTGTGGGCTAAGGGCCTTGGCGTGCCACCTCCGTGCCCTGCGCCCAGCCCCTGCTGCGCCGGGAATCCAGAGACACGGGGAACAGAGACTGCACGACCCACACACACCGAGGGGATGCAGGAGCCTACCGCCCACCGGCATCAGGGCTCGCATCCTCCAGGACTGAGGAGCTGGGCCTGTACCCAACGGAGACGGAAATAGAGGTACAACATGGACGAAAGCTAATGCCCAGTCCCCAAGGTGGACACCGAGACGGTCTTGGGCCCTGCTTCCAGAGGTGATGTCTCCGTTTCAGATGACTGTGCGCAGGGCGGCCCGGCTCCTCACCGCCCTGCCACCTTCCTCCCCGACCCACCCAGCCCCGGCCGACGGTGATGGAATCTCACAGGCAGCCCAACCTTCATACTTAACATGCAACCACTGTAGCATGATCACAGCTACAGTGTGTCAAGGGAGGACGCTCCCCAGGTCGGCCTCTCCCTGCAGCCCCAGACCAGGATCCAGCCGAGGTCCAGACTGCCGGGAGCACTCCATGGTCAGTCGCTTCACTATTCCGGATTCTCCTTCCATCCCTCACTTCTTTCCTCCGTTGTTGTTTTTTTTTTTTTGGTTTGGTTTTAGGAAACGAGGCCATATTCCCACCCACCCAGTCCGGGCCGCCCATGGGGTCATTTCCTGAGCGCCCCTGGCATCTGTATTTCCTCCCACCCGGGCGGCAGGACACTCAGGTTTGATAGTGCTGTTCAGGGCCCGGCTCCTTCATAGGGGCCGCTGCTGGCTTGGACCGGGAGCATACTCAGGGACGCAGTGCCCACTCTGCACTGCCGGCCCTGATCCTCGCCGGCAGGTGGTTTGCTTTCAGCCGGAGTCTGTACAGGGAAACAACCCTTTGCCTGTGTGTCAGCCTGGAAAGAGTTTGGGTAGTAGAGTGCCTAGGGCACTTCAAACATACAGATCATGAGAGAGAGAGAGACAGAGACAGAGAGAGAGAGAGATCACTCCCGGGATTTAAAATATACAGATTAGGTAAATTTAGTGCAGATGCACACCAAGAATGGGACCCACTTCCTCCCCCTGCACACATTCAGATCATCCATCTGGAAATAGCCCGGAGCTCAGAAAACCCAGGAGACAGGCATCATATGGCAGCATCCCTCCAGGCTCCTCCCAGTGCCGTCTGGCTCAGGTGGGGTCCCCAGCAGCCTCCCTCGAGGTCGGGGAGGGCCTTGGGGATGGACGGTCTGTGGGTTCAGAGTTCACGGTGCCCTGTAGCAGAGGGGGCCGGCAGAAGGACTCACAGCCAAGTCCTTAGCCTGCGGGGACCCACCGGGGATGGCTGTTTCCCCTCTCCAGGGCCTGATGGACAAGGGAACATCGAGTGTGACTCCTTAAGGCGGAAGCACACAGACTCGGGCTCTCTCGGGCTCTGGGAGGCCGGGCTGTGTGGGCGGGTCTGCCCAGGCGTTCCAGAAGCCCTCATCCTTGAAGAGCTGAGACTTCCTGCATTGCGTTCAGATTCCTGCAGGCTGATCATTGGATTTGATTAAAAAAAGAAAAAAAAACTAATTAGAGTATCTTCGGCTATTATTATATTCAGGCAACTTTAATTTTGAACCTGTCTCGCCGACTCAATCTGGTCCTTTTAGCAGAGCTTCACCAAACGCTCATCTTCCTCGTTGAAAACGTGCTGGTGCAAGGCGGGGAGGGAGGGGTCTCATCTCATTCAAGGGAGCTGCCCCCGAGGATAGGCGTCAGCGGTGAGGAAGGTAGTTTCCAGGGGGCAGAGCTTTGTCAGTCTGAAAGGCTCCTGGAAGACCAGGGAGAGCCAAGAGCCAGACCTGGGGGCTGCAGTGCAGGGTGGGCTTTGCTCCTTGCAGCCACCATGTTCTAGAAAGTTCCCCAGGGCCAGGGTTCATTTCTCATTCTGCCTCCTAGCAACCAGGTCCATCTATTTGGTTTGTTTTTGTGTCACACTTGATGGCACACTCTTGGCACAGTGCTCGGAGGGGCAATCCCAGAAGTGCTCGGTGCCAGGGATGGAACCAGGGTCCCCCCCATGCAACGTGAGTGCCTCGTGTCCTGGGCTCACTGCTGGCCCCCGGGTGCATCTCTCTGCCCCCTACTCAGAGCTGGACATGCTCCCTGGCCTGCCCCTCCAGGCATCTGCATCGCAGGAGTGGACATGGCCGGTGTTCAAAACAGCGGGTTTCGGCCTCCCCACACTCACACTCACAGACGGGAAAGTATCTCATGGACCATGCAGGCAGAAATGGGCAAACGGGATGATGCCAAGAATATTGGTGTCTCACTAGCAGTGAGCCCCACCCCAGGCGTCCCGCGCATTAAGCAGCACTAACTGTCCTGTGGGCTGGCACTGGGACACTCTGGAGGCCCCCCCACACCCCTGGCATGCATTCCTCCCTCCCCTCCCCCACCCCCAGAAAGCACAGGGGCCAGTGCTGGAGGTCTGGGGCAGGCTGAGGGAGCAGCAGACCTTCCAGGTGGGATAGCGGCATGGACCGACCCCAGTCCACACTCAGCTCAGCTCTTTCCATCACAGACGACAGGACAGGCGCTTGGGCCAGCTTGGACAAAAGAACTGTCAGCTCCTGTCACCGCAGGGGCCCCGCCAACCCCAGCTCTCAGTTCTGCCTCCCCCAGTGCCAGCTTCTCCGGCAGCCCCTCTCTGGAAAGCGCCGCCCCCCCTCCCCAGGAGTGCCAGGCCTTGGGTTCCTGTGGCAGAACTGGCCTCTGGCCCCTCACCCCGGGGCGGCACACTGCTCCCCCACCACATCTGGGCAGAGGTCTGCGGGCTTGATCTGTTTGGGTCCAGAGCATCAATGTCGGGGTTGTGCGGGGTCTGCGAGGCATCTGCTGCTTTGATAGTGTCGCAGCCTTTTCTTCTTTTGCCCGCATCTGCCGGTGCCTGCAGTTAAACCCAGGGCACCGCAGACACAGCAAGTGCTCCAGTCCTTGGAGCCACCTCCCCAGCCCCGTAACTGACCTTTTTTTTTTCCCCTTTTTGGGTCACACCTGGCGATGCACAGGGGTTATTCCTGGCTCTGTACTCAGGAATTACTCCTGGCAGTGCTCAGGGGACCCTATGGGATGCTGGGAACCGAACCCTCGAACCCGGGTCAGCCGCGTGCAAGGCAAACACCCTGCCCGCTGTGCTGTCACTCCAGCCCCCCCCCCCCCCCCCCCATAACTGACTTTTACAAAGGAAAACGCCGGCTCACGGCCTTCCGCACGGAATGGAAGCCGCTCTTCTGCACTTGGACCTGAATTTACTGACCCCTGCTCTCTCGGTGTTCTGACCCCAAGCAGGCCAGCCCATCACCTGGCCCAAGCCATACCAGCCCCGTCAAAGAAGCCCTGTGTTTTGTCACCAGGAAAAGAAAACCCCGGGGGTGGCGGGGGAGGCGACTGGAGCAATAGCACAGCGGGGAGGGCGTTTGCCTTTCACGTGGCCCACCCGAGTTTGATTCCCAGCATCCCATATGGTCTCCCGAGCACCACCAGGAGTAATTCCTGAGCTCCACCAGGTGTGACCCAAAACGGAAAAGAAAAGTGGGGTGCAGAGGGACACAGAACCCCCAGGTCCATCCCTCCGTTTCTGTGTCTGGTGAGGGACCTGGCAGCTGGGGGAGGGGAAGTGGCTGAGGCTGCGTGTACCCCGGGGCACTTGAAGGTCACGCCAGGGTGGGGCCTCCATCTCAGTGGGTTCCTGACCTGATAAAGAGGGGGCCAGGAGCAGCCTTTGGGAATATCCCTCTCTCCGGGGCTCTGGAAATTGAAAGGAGGAAGGGAGAGGGAGAGAGAGAGAGAGCACTGTGAAATTGTGTCTGCCGGTCCCAGGACAGGGAAACGTCCCTCTTCCATCAACCCCAAACTGTTTGACATGCCGTGGTTCATGGGCGACTTGAGGCACATAAATATGTGCTTTAAAGTTTAAAAGTGAGAAGAGAGATGAATGGGGCTCTGATGAGGCTTCCCGGTGCCCGTGCGTTCCGAGGCCCCCCTGGCCGCCCCCGCCGCCGCACCGCGGGGGGACACACGCCGCCAGCCCCAAGCCCCACTGCGCCGGCGGCTCAGCCCCCGCGCCTGGCTTGATTGGAAGCAAAGTGCCCGTATTGCCTTCCCTCCAGAGCCAGGGCCACGTCTCGGGAAGTAATCCTGAGTGATGGCTGACTGCGCCGAGCCATTGATTGCTTTATAAATGGCATTCTTCTCTCGGCAGCCCCCCCCCCCCGCCCTCGCCCACCCCCACGAAAGTTTGGAGGCAGCGGCTTTTCAAATTACGCCTGGAAAGCAGCCTGATTTCCCAGCGGAACCATCTCGGGGATCAGGAGCCGTCCCACCTTTCCCAACAGTTGCACCCAGAGTACTTTGTACTCCAGGCTCCGGGCGTGGGGTGCAGGGCAGAGGTACCCCCCCACACACACACACCCCGGCAAGGGCCGTCTCCGGAAAGTGCCCGGGCGCGGGTTGACCAGCACTCCCCGTCCCTGCCTTTCCTTCCTTGGCTGATTTGCCATTCTCGGCGACGCATGCCAGCTCCTGGGTCCCCACCTCGCGCTCAGCCAGTACCCTCACGTCCTCACCGCCTCCCACACAGGCTGGGAAGGAAGGAAAGCGCCTCTCATAACCTCGAGGCCGTTTCCAAGGATGCTGGGGGGTAGGCGAGGAGGAGAGAGAGTCCAAGTTTCTAAGGGAAAGCGAGCAGGCACGCCGACCTGAGTTCCCCACCCAACACCCCTTCTTCCCACCTGGC